CTAAATCAACCGTATAACTGTGGACGCGACCGAATCGAAGTTTCGATCTCTCCGCAAATCGGCTTGATTTGTATAGTCGTGTCCGTAATTGAAACAAAAATTTCTATTGCCATATTGATTGATTGAATAATTTACCAACATTAAACATTATGTAATTCGTGAGGTTTGGATTTGTTTGGGAACCTATTCTGGGAACCTAATTTGGGAACTAGACTCTATACAATACTAATGCTACATACACCCGTTAATATATATACTAATGTGTATCATTGTGTTCATTGTGTTTCTTTAAGCTAATTTGCAAGATGGTACAGTTAAGAAGATCTGCATAATAAAATTGTTATAGTGTAGCCTATAAATTGCAAACACACTTTCATTAAAAGCTAAACTTATTTATATTCAGTTTTTGGAAAATGTTCGTTTAGGATTACCATTTTAATCTATTACTGCCAACTACTCCATATTCGCGTTATGTACAGCATAAATATTTATGTAAAATACGCTATCAAGGTCTTTCATTTAATTTCAAAATATTGTTATAACTGCATTCGATAGTCAAATGTTTATGAATTTTATCAAATAGATCCTACGTCACTTGCAGTACAAGGGTGAGTATATTAAGTTTCTGCGGATGTATACAACACGCAAAACGACTTTACACCTCCCATTGTACTGATCGTCTGGGCAGCACTTTTTTGAAACGCTCTAAGCTTGTCTGTCCGTTTGTCTTGTCAATTTACAGGCGGCCATATTTGAGATATTTTAAAGAGTATTCAACGACGAAGGGCTATTGAAAATGACTCGGATCGGCACACTTTTTTTGACGTTTCCTTTGTTCGGAAACTCGTTATATGAATCACCGTAGGCCGGTGCAGGATCGCAGCTCATTATAGTATATTTTTCTTTATTTTATTATAATATCAATCAAAAAGATGCGCTTATACGTTTCTGCTTCTAACGTCCATACGTTTAAGCAGTGATCTAGATACCCTTTCAAAATATTTGTAAAATACATTAAGTGATATATGTTAATGCCTTAGTAAAATACTCCATTGTAGATACGATTTAAACGACACTCGTTCGTAAGCACAATTTATAGAAAAATATTTGATTTTATATGAAGAATATTCAAAAGAAGATCTAGATCAGTCGTATCGTTCGCAATCTTTTCTCTTGTTGCCGCAATTTATTTGCCAAAAATCCCACTTTCTTCTAATTCACTCGAATGTATGGATCTGCTCGTTACAAATGACAATATGATTCAACATATTGTGTTTAAAATTCAAGTTAGGAAAGCCTTTTTATTATTTTTCGCACATACACACTTACATGTATACCAAAGCGCGTATTCATTTGATCCGCATTTACTTTGCAAACCTTTGAGAGGTGAATGGGACGTCATATCAAGAAATTCTGCTCGTGCAAATAACAAAAATGAGAGAACAATCTGTCAAATGGTTATTAATTAACAGCGTTACTACTCTTGCTGATGATAGAAGCACAAGAAGTCCGTAATAATCTCCTAGTTTGAATTTTAAATAAAATGCTGAGCCATCTTGTTATTTAGTTTTTTTTTTTTTGCTTTTTTATTGCACGACACATCAAGGAAATTATACAGATATCTTTGCCGAATGAAAAAATATAAAACTAGATTGCAGTTGTTTGTTTATTGTAAAATGTCCCCCCCCCCTCTGGAACATAACAGTTAACTAACAACGCAATAACCTCCAGCTATACAAAAACAAATCTAAATGTATAATTGTTTCGGTTTTTAAACGAAGCAAGCAGCAAGAAGAAGAAAATGTTGCTCTGTTATTCTGTTAAAGTATTCGAAATCAAGCCCAGAGGTAATCAAATTATTTTATTTACAGCTTAGCCGGTTGATTTCTAATACTTAGGAAAATACATTGAAAAACTTTATATACAGCACATCGCGAGAATCTTCATTAGTTTACTCAGACGGAGACCCACCTCTCTGATCTGTTTTAAGTCTCTGAATGGACTATGCATCAATGATTTCATCTAAATTTGTTTATTATGGAAAAGAGTTGTGTCCTTAGTTTATGTTGTGCCCTTTGACTGATTTCGTCAATTTTTCATATCGATTTGCCTGCAGTAAGTTGCAGTGTTTTTCCCAAATTTAAACGGGAATGCTTGCCACGCGAACACAAAAAAAGGGAAGACAATTACGCTTAAGTCCAGTCAATATTTTACGGTGGTCAAGAATATATTTTATAAGATTCCTGAAGCTTTCTTCCATGTGTGACATCTTGCTCTTCTCTCGGTGAAGCATGGTATAAATCTTTCTACCGAGTGTCTCACTAAGATTGTTTCCTATCTGCTTCAAATAATGAACACTACCGAGAAAGGCAAAAAACTTTGAAAAAGGTTTTGAAAATTTTCACACAGCGATAATCGATAAGTTACGAATAGAAGGCACTTTGGAAGAGCCACCACTAGTCTAAAATGCATGTATCCGAATTCAAGAAAACGTTCGCAAGAAATGAAGACAGTAAGCTATTTGCTCCTGTCTCTGTCTATAATCTTTGCTAACCTTGTCTTTGCCTGGCTGTACAGAGGACAAATCCCGTGTGGATGGTCAACTAAAAGCAAAAAAAAAACAAAATTTCCATCATCTTCTCAACTCAGCAACTTGAAACACTAGATGTTGATAGCAATATGTTGTTTACAATGTAACTCTTTAATCTATTCACAAATGGACTTTAAAATATTGCTTCAAAATTTTCGCATTGTTCCCGCGTGAATATCAAAACGAGGGAAGGCATTGATATTTAAAATTTTTTTAATTTTTGCCTCTCCCCTTTTCTTCATTCTTTAATAAAGTATATATGAATAAGTCAACCCCATCAATTCTTGTTTGAGGATGTTGCATAGTGTGTAATAAAAATTGTTATGAAGATTGTTAAGCAAGGAAAATAAAATACTAATGAAATTGTGAAAATTTTATCCAATAAACTTCAGAGAAGAGGAAAAGAATAATTCTCAGTTTAATTATGAAATTACGTCAAAGGATTTTTATGCAAAAATTTGTTATCATCAAATTCTCTATACCCCACAATGAACAGTTATCAACTTTACAGTGTTTCGTTTCAATTCAGTTGCGCCCAAAAAAAAAAAAACGAAATAAATAATGGGCACAGATGATTTCGTATTCAAGTTTACACATCTAACTTATAGTTTACTTTAAACTTGACTTAAAACTACTAAGACTAAGAAGACAAAGAAAAGCTGATTACTCGCCCTATAGAGCAAATCAAACAATATTATATTATATCTCTTTTGATAAAATAGAATGGTCATTCTTTGTTTCGATTAAAATTCGTATTCTGGCCTAACTATCATAAAACTAGTGATGGTGTCACACGTTGTCTCAAATTTAATATACCGATACAGAAATGTCGGCAACTTCAATTATGCGTTAAAATAAAGTTGTTATTATATGAAATCCTAAATTGAAATGTAAATAAGCAAGAAAATTCTATTCGGTCGTGACCGAATCTTTTGCACTTATAATCGTTATCTTAAAAAAGACAACAATAAAAATGCAAAAGGACTACATTTTCATGCTTTATAATATTGAGTGGGCGTGGTTGATACTTTCTATTTTCAAAATTAAAGTTTTTATCGGCATAGGCATGTAGACGTTGTAGGCTTTGTGACCTTGGAAAAATTTGCGCAATGTTGCGCAGATAGTCGGGTGAACAGACAAGCAGACGGAGATGTTTAAGCGCATTCGAAATTTGAAACTGGCCAAGAATTTATATACCGAATAATATGCAGCTGCGTAGACAGACAGATGGACAGACGGAAATCTTTAGATGCCTTTCAAATTTGAAACTGGCCAAGAACTTATACACATTATGGGATTTTTGAAGTTTGTTTCTGCGCTTTGTTGTTGGTGTTAAAATAAAATTAAGTCCTGATACGCTGTAATATTGGGTAGGCGTCGTCAATTTTTGTACCGGTCCTATAGGCCAGGGAAATGTTTCCAGTCGACATTGCACAGATGGACAGACTGCCAAGTTTAAATCGATTTAGAATTTGATGCTGATCATAGGGCCTCTGATACTATCTTCTGGACATTGCAAACGTTTTGACAAACTGAATATATCCCCTACAGCGTTATGTTGGCAAAACTTGTTACTTTTGAGGTGATACCCTATAGTTATATATAGTTACTATGCAGTATGTAGTATGTATTTTGTCAATGCAGAAATGATGTGAAATTTTTGATAAACATCTTACCTTCGTTCTGTTAATTGTAATTCACGCAATTTATCCATAGGATATTGTAAATTCATTGCTGCAAACGATACATGACGAAATATTTTACTTCACTAAATCAAATAATGTAAATTAAGTCATGATCCTTTTATTTATGTTTAATAGTATTTCTTACATATATACATACCTGTGTTTAATTCTCATATCCGCAAGGGAGTACAATCCTAATAATCTTAAAAGAAAAGAATGACCTTTGATTTTAATTCTATAAATTCATTTAACGAAAATTTCAACAGGACACGCCTACAATAGTTACTTAACAGAAACTTTTATTTCGAAAATAGGAAAAGTCAATCGCGTCCACTCCGTGCTACAGAAAATGAAAATTTGATTTTCTTGGCATTTTCAAGCCTCTATTAACAGAGCAGTGATGGGTATAAATGATTCGGTTATCATCCAATAAAATTTTCTTACAATTTTTTCTTAATATTACGAGTAGAAGACAACGTAGTAGTCGGAGATATTTACAAATTTTCCCGAAGAATTAGGTTAAGAGAAAACTTTATGCGATGTAGAAGAAAGTAAAGCATAATTTTCTGAAGAAGAGAAAGAATTGACACACACAACCAACCAACCAACCAACAAACCATCCAACATATTTATTTATTCATTAACGTGACGTTTTTTTCTCCTGCAAATCAATTTCAAAATAAATAATAATTTTTTTTTTCTCTTTTCTTTCTTTTCATTTACAGTCAAATGCATCTATCTATCTTCAATCAAAAAGGCGGCAAATTAAAAGCGTCATAAAGCAAAAAAAAATTGTAGAAGAAGAAAAAAAACGCCCATTTCCGTTCAATACGTGTTTACGTTCGCTTAAGGTCTACTTCCTGCTGCGTTTTACTTTATTAATACAAATACAAAACGAGAAAATTGCATGAACGACAATAACTCAGCAAATATTACAAGTTACAAGTAGTATATGAAAGAAAGCATATGAAGAATGCTTCTTTATTCAGTTTTAAAAAAATTTTCCTACACCACAAAAAAATGAATAGAAAAAGTAAATAAAACAAGTAAAATCATTCTAGTAATCGGGCAAGGTTAATCATTACATATCGTCGAAGACAATATTTTGCTTACTTTGATGATAGTATACTAAAGACTATACCGTGTTTCTTCTTCTTCTTCTTCTTCATATGGGAGAGAAACTAAAATGGAAATAATAATAATTTCTTTATAATTAATTTTCTTGTCACTGATCTTACAATTCTTCAAGTGTTTCCGTCATAGAGGATTAAAAATAACCCTAACAAGTGACGCAGTCCAAAATGTAATTTTTTGGCTGTGACTAGGGCTCAACTAATTTTTCCCATTTCCAGACATGGAAATTTGTATAGCGTGTCTGTGTAGAGTAATAAAAATAATTTATCCTCTTTAATTAATTCGTTACATTTTCAATTCTAACCTACATCTAAGAGATTCCAACGTTTTCAACTGTTTTCGTCATAGAAGACTAAAAAGAAGTCTAACAAGTGACATAGTCTAAAAAGTAGTTTAACGTGGTTCAAATTTGTTGAATTTTTTGCTAAATACCTATTATGGATCAGTTTCCGCAACTTTTCGATATATAAAAGTTTACCTTTCGCTTAAAAAGGGCTGCATAGGCGAAGGTTCGAAAAATTCACTCACACGACTCGACGAATGTTTTGTATTAATCTACTATGCCGAGAAACATTGTTACTTAACGTTTTTGATTGGAACAATTTTAAAATTTGTAAATTTCTTAAAGTTGTCCAATCTCCGAATCCGGACTTGAGCCAGTGAACTAAAGTTCATCAAAATATCGTGAAAATTTCGATACAAAAATATATGGGAAGACATTAGACGGATCGAAATATAATCCAAAGGGATCCGTCTAAAGTCGTTTTCGGCGTTACACATATCCATACAAACTTCTTTTATCACGTACCACAAGTGATCGAATATATAGCAAATATATAGCGGGACCAATATGTTGGGTGTTGGCAATTTTGCATTTTTAAGACAGACATGGATCTTAAACTCTCTCGAACTGATTCGAATTGGGAAATTATTTGAAGATTAATGCTTTCATAATGGAGACGCAATGACAACCTTTTATGAATCTACGTACGTACTGAAGATCAATTTCAAATCAGTTTATTTGATATTATCGCGACAATGAATTGGACGCAGTCATCGATATTAGCACAACCGCTTATCAATGCAGAAGCTAATAGCGCCTATGAATGGTGCAATAAATCATTAATCTCTAATGATGATCGGACATACAATTGTAACTTGGGTGATAGCGTTAACAAAATAAGCAGTAATTTTACAAACCATAATCCGTAAGTCAAAATGTTTTCCTTTGATTATTATTATTATTTATATTATTTGTTTATATGTTTACATGACTTTATATATATATATATATATATATGTATTAATTTATTTATACCAAAGAAATAAACTCTTGGACTAAAAGCACTAGGCACAATAATTAGTGGCTCTGCTTAAAAAAAAAAAATTACACAATGTTGCAGATATTTCCAATACATCTATAGGATTAGTCGATTCGAAATAGGGAAATGTTTGGCCTTTCATAAATTATATTCTTGCTTGTAACTTTTTGCGCTCACAAGCGCACATTAGAGAAGTCGATTTTTTCAAGATCAAGACGTATATATACATACAGGTATATATATATATATTGTATAGGTATATAAATATGCATGAAATCTTTTGATTAATGCAATTCAATTACATATATTATATCGTTTATTCCCATTCGAAATCGTAGATGGGGTGTGCACTTGACTGAAAGCTATTGTAGCTGAGTCATATTTCAAGTAAATAGAAATGTAATGAAATCTCCCTGAAATTGAAATCTCAAGAAACAAGATAATTATATTTGGCTGTGATCAGGGTTCAACTAAATATTTCCCATTTTTATAGACATGGAAATTTGTGTGGCGCCTCTTTGTAGAGTAATAAAGAAATAGTCCACAAAGCGGAGCTGTTATCAGTTTAAGAGAGTACCTAGAGTGCAACTCTATGGTGCAACTTAAACTGAGGGTACGTCTTTACGCGATTTATTGCATCTAAGTATTTCCAACGATTTTTTTTTTGTTGGCAAATTTCAAATTGATATCTTCCAGGGAAATGTATAACACAGATGATGACAAGATGATCATAAAGTATATATATATATTTTGTAGGATTTTCGAACTTTCCACAACTCGGTGATGGGTTTCAAGACGAAGCTCGTTTTGTTTTGCAAATTATTAAAGACTTTGTGTTCTTTGCAACACAAACCACTCTCTATTTATTATTAGATAAAAAACTTTTTCCCATACAAATATAGTCGAATCAATACGGTACGATACGATACGTAATTTCGTAATGTATTTACCTTAATAAAAACGCACAAAGCCTCCTTAAAGAAAACTACGACCATCCAATGGCAGAATTTAAATTTTATCACATTATCTTAAAAATTTGATTAAAATTACTTTAGTCACTTTTATGTGTGATGGTAATTGTAGCTTACAACACACAGAATCGGGCCCCCGACATATCAATATCAATAAAGTTGTTTTGTGCGGTACACAGGAGCCTTTAAAAAAATAATGAGATTATCTTACGCGTAAAAGATTAAATATAATGTGGAAAGCATAATATAAATATAAAACTTTAGTTCACAACAATCGACAATTTTGTGTCGTGTCGTGAGCACTTATAAAATTTGTATTTTATCAATTTAATTTTTTTTTTTAATTTTAATATTGCATTATAGATCTTTCTTTTGTATGATATAAATTTGATTTTATTTATACAAAAAAAAAAAAAACAAGGAAAAAAAAAAAGAAATAAGAAGAGAATAAATATAATAAAATATTACATATATAATTGTATATAACGTATGCGTATATGCGCAAAAAAAAAAAGAAATGAAGGAAAGCGCTTTCAATAATTTCCACTTTACATGCATATAAACAGTTGGGCGTGCATCGTCGTATTCATTTTCATGGTGAATTTGCATAAATGGTGTTAATGTCGCTTCCGCAGAAGATGGTCGGAATTTATGTATACATGAAGCTTATAACTATGTAGCACTAATTGCATTTCATTATAGAGGATTTAATAAATCCTTTGAGATTGTTTCCTAAAGCCATTCATATATATACATGTATATATGTTTATATATTATTACATACACGTATATTTTTAAATTTAAAGACAAATTTAAATGAATCCGCCTTAAAACTCCAATTAGCTTTAAATGAGTTAAAATGCAGTAACACCTAATTATTCAAATAAGTTAAACTATTTACTACATAGTAATAAGTAAGAAACTTATATTTCCTTTGGGAATAATGCTGCATACTCCTCATCAAAACTCACTTCGAACGAAGGAAATCGTTCAGGAATTTTAATTTTTCATTTGCAGACCTTATACTATTAATGAAAATTATCCCCTTTGGGAATAATGCTGCATATCCCTTATGCTATTAATGAAACTTATCCCCTTTGGGAATAATGCTGCATAGTCCTCATCAAAACTCACTTCGAACGAAGGAAATCGTTCAGGAATTTTAATTTTTCATTTGCAGACCTTATGCTATTAATGAAAATTATCCCCTTTGGGAATAATGCTGCATACCCCTTATGCTATTAATGAAAATTATCCCCTTTGGGAATAATGCTGCATAGTCCTCATCAAAACTCACTTCGAACGAAGGAAATCGTTCAGGAATTTTAATTTTTCATTTGCAGACCTTATGCTATTAATGAAAATTAACCCCTTTGATTGAATTTTATTACTTAGTGTCTCTTACTCTTTGATAAGATCGTCGATGCATATTTCTATATATGATAAGATCTCTTGTACAATTCGATGTTGAAGACATTTCTAAATATTTTCACATCAATACAATTGATCAGATTGATTGATATTGATCAGTGCAAAATATATATTTAATATAATAGAATATAAAAAAAAAATTACTTAATTAATTCCTAAATTCTGTTAGCTTTTCTTCTCTCTTTTTACTGCAATGCAATGCACTTCAATAGAGCCGATAATATTTCATTTATATTACCCGTATGGCGTCAGATGCTATGGAGTCTCCTATTCGCAAGCATGGTTTTTATAGCAACTAGCGGCAATTTAATAGTTGTATGGATTGTCTTAACAACAAAACGTATGCGTACAGTCACTAACTATTTCATAGGTGAGAAACAACAACAAAAAAATAAGTCAATTAAAATATGCATTCAAAAAAAAAAAAAAAAGAAGAAAACTTCACCCATTCATTTAGGAGTTGTAATGTAAAATAATGTGAAACAACAACAACAACAACAACAACAACAACAACAATCATAATGATACTTTTCTCTAATCATTTACTTACTTAAGACAAGATACGAGAACCAACAAAATGTTTTATCGCGGAAAGCGTAAAAACAACAATTCGTGAATTTGTAAAATGTCAAAAATATATGACATACGATAATCTATTCTATAATAATAACAAATAAGAAAAGATAATAGACAGCTGGGACTCTCGCCTCATTTCATATCATACGCATATTATCAATTTAATCCAAGCCGAAGCTTGACATAAAGTATTGCATATTATTATCGTTTTGCCAGATTAGTGTTAAGAAGTTTTAGATGAATTTTTAAAAAGCTTTTCTTTTTTTTTTATGTTTTAGAATAATGCGTAAAAAATGAAAAGTTATTGGGCATAGACGACTTTTGTTCATTTTTAAGCATTATCCGCAAGACTCGCAAGAAGAAGATTGAAAACTTTTTTCACATAATGAATTTTTCGTAATAAAACGTTTTCAGCGAACCGATCATAAAAATCGTTTGTATCGATCGAATCCATTCTCAATAGAATCTCGTCCTTGGAATAAAATACGTTAATGCACAGAATTTTATCAAAATATCTCAAAAGCTGCGACCTGTAAGGAATGGCTCCATCCTATGTTCTTCGGCCTGTTTACGTATATCACCACGAACTACTATACTATATATTGCACCCTGCTCCCTCAAAGGTGTAGAGCATACACTGTGCACCTATGTACATTTGTACACTTTATACATATACAATTATGCACATGATGTTTATACGCAATACACATGTGCAAATATACATGTATACTATCAGTTGTATGTTGTATGAGGAGCACTGTAAAGACATCATAAATTTACAAGACATGTGACTTAAAAATCTTATTTTCTAGAAGAAAATGATGCCGGAAAGGTTCGTATGACTATTCCTTCGCAATATGAAGATTGCAGGTGCAATATACACAATATGACTATAAGAACAATACACAGTGTAATCTGTTCTAATTATTTTTTTGTAATGCGTTCAATTACTCAGGGAATGTCGCCTATGACGGTCACGAAGGCAAAAGAGAGACAGGGTGGTAATTACCGCAGCTAAACCGGTAAATATTATGCCTTTACCGACAATTAGCCTTCACTCTAGATAGCTACAATCAAAGTGAACTCTACCGCATTGATAGTTGAACCCGCAAACACTAACTTGGTGCTAGTGGCAATACTTACCAATTCGGCTACAATATGAGTGCACACAATATTATGATCCTTTTTCTTCCCATTCGATGGCAGCATATTTATCGGTACTTTTGTGTTCCATCTAACTTTTCCCCCAAATTTATACAAAATAAGGATTCACCGATGAAAAACAAAATAATTTTTGAAACTTTACAGTAAGTGCCTCAGTGTGTTTAATAGACAGCCTCACCCGACTGTAACGTTTCGACTAGTTACACACCTTACGATATTAATGTTTTTCGCCGTTAACACAAAATCGATTCAAATGTTATAGTATATGGGGAATAAGGTGCGTCTCTAGCGTGTGTCTTCCTTTAATTAAAATATTATATATTATAGATATATAAGTAAATATAATTCGTGAATCGGGAAATGTTTGTTGCCTTAAGCTGCACGTTCTCCAATCGTCTTAGCGTTTTACAGTCAGTTTTTAGAGAAATTACTCCATCTCAATATATATTTGTGACTTTGAGAGTTATGATCCTAAGAAGTAGATATAGCCGCGAGCAACCGAATACGAACGCGTAGACACAGTTGAATGACTCAGTATCTTATGCTGATCAGGCGTACGCTTCTGTATCTCTTACCCGCGAGGTATGAAAATAAATGCGAAGAAATTTGAAGGATTTGAATTTTGATTTTGACGACTACATTCAATACATCTTTAAAAGAATCATTTTTTTTTTTTTCATCATTTGGCTCCAAATGTCGTAACTGTACATTTCAATTTTCCTATGAAAAATTTCGCATTTTCAGTGAATTTATCAGTGGCAGATGCGATGGTCTCGTGCTTAAATGTAACATTCAATTATATCTATATGTTGAATAATGATTGGCCGTTCGGTGAGTTATATTGCAAAATATCGCAATTCATAGCGATACTAACCATAAGTGCTTCGGTATTCACTTTAATGGCAATATCAATCGATAGGTAAATAAATTACAATGAAATATGTTAAGCGGGCAGTCTTAACACTCTGATATTTCAATTCAAAAATCATTTCATTAAACCTAAGTGTTAATGTTTTAGATATGTGGCGATAATGAAGCCTTTTAAACGCCGTCGTATGAGTAAACGTTGCAATTTGGCAATTGCTGCTGTTATATGGATTGCTTCGGCCATTATTTCCACTCCTATGCTATTATTTTTTACAACTAGTCATATATTCACTGTGGATGGTGTGCGAACCGTCTGCTATCCAGAATGGCCGGATGGTACAACAAATCATTCACGATTGGAGTACATGTAAGTACTAAACGTATACAAAACTTACTTTGGCCTTTATTTGATACTATATGTTGTCTCTCTTCTTGCTTTCCAAAGATACACAAATACGTACAAACTAATATTAGTGCAAATGTAAGAATAGAAACAAATCCCAAGCAATTCAAGAACGATAAAAGCACTTGCTTGCATTTGACATAGCGAGCATGTGTCGTTATAAGTTGTCCAAGGGAAAGATAAAAATCTCATAATCTTTTTTATAATAAATGCCTTTAAAATCGAATTGTTTTTTTAAGAATTAGAAAGAAAAGGATAAATTCATAATTTTATCTTCCATCTCAGGCCGTTTTTCCTAATTTAGAATAAATGTTCAGGCATCAGCACAACTACCCGCCGCAGATCCCATAAAGTTTATAGATTCTTTGTTCCACTTTGATACTGAAATTCTGAATTTCCGAGACACGTTCCATAGTACACAAAGATCGATTGATTAAAAATTGATTTCAGATTTCATATAAATCTGTTCGCTTACCGGCCGGCCTTATTAAAAGACCGATCGTGGCCATTTTTCGACCAAACCCGAAGGTGTTCGACTGATAGACTTTTGGAAATATCTTCACGGGATGGAAGAATAGAAACGAAAATTAAAAAAAAATGGAAGACAAGCTTTAGTTCAATTACTTTCGTATTAAGAACGTGCACAACAATCGAGCTGGCCCAGCAAAGAATTTCTATGCGAAATTTCAGGTTCCTATCTTTATAATGGTTTTTCCATATAAATACAAATCATCAAGAAATATTGGAACTTCGAATACTTTATCACTAGTTTTTCAAGGTCATATTAACTTAGGCGGTAGATGTAATGCAATGCAAAGAAACCATCAAAAAAAACTATTCAAAAAATTGCTGAATACCATGTTTTCCTGATTACTAAAAAAGTTAATTTTTCCTTTTTTTTTTAGTTTGAGTTGAGTTTTCTTAACAACAGTTATCTAGCGATGTTAACTGTTTATATTTACCTTTATTTATATAGATACAACATATTGTTTATGATATTAACCTACTTTTTGCCTATAATTTCGATGACGGTCACTTATTCGCGCGTGGGTTTCGAATTATGGGGTTCGAAAGCAATAGGAGAATATACACCACGTCAAGTTGAAAATATTAAAAGTAAAAGAAGGGTAAGTTTTTTGATTACACCCATTAAATAGTTTAAAAAATGCATCCCATTTTGAGTAAATAACTTTTGAAAAGGGGAAATATTATAATTAGACCGTTAAACCGATCATTAAATATAAATTTCAGTTTTCCCCAGCATGCAGTTGTATCAGATCAGTAGTCGTGAAATATTGTCCAACTTTTTCCACTTTTTTCAATAACTTTCTTCTTCCTCTTATTAAAATATCTCGAAAATTGCGATCAATATAACATGAAGAGATAGACAGACGGGCAGAACTTATGCTTGAACATGGACCTACCTCATGTGGTCCACACATCCCCATACAAACTTACTAAATGATGAACCGTAGACAGCGGGGTATACATATTGCACCAAGCTATCGCTAAAGTCGATTTCATAGGAGAGAATTACATAACAAATGTGCTTAAGAATGTTTTCAAAATAAAAGATAGCTCCGTCTGGAGTGCTATTGCTCCATAACAAAAACTAGTGAAAACTTGGGGGAAAGGCATGGCTTAAGGCATGGATCTATTTCTTGGATCTAACTCCATATAAGATTCCTTTTGAATTTTGAATCACATCACAAAAAGATTTAATTTTTAATATTTTACGCTGATGATGGCGAATTGATGCAGGGTCGCTAATGGTCGGACTTGCTCTACTATAATTTTGTTACTAGTTTTTTATTTTGAAGCATTGCATGATATCTACATTTATTTAATTTTTCTTGGTGGTTATATATCTCAGCGACTTTTGCAGTCACTTTAAAAATAATTTCACTGTCTGCTTTTCCTGCATAGCTCATTAGACTTATATAAATGCGATGGTAGACGTATCCAAAATTTTAATTACTATTTTAGATTGTCAAAATGATGATGGTCGTAGTACTAATATTTGCGGTATGCTGGTTACCCTTTCATGCATATTTCCTTTTGACTTCGTGTTATCCGGCGATCACGGAAGCACCATTCATCCAAGAGATCTATTTACTTATTTATTGGCTGGCCATGAGTAACTCTATGTACAATCCTATTATCTATTGCTGGATGAATTCGCGGTAAGTAAAATGCATATGGTACGCGAGTTTTCCGCTGATGAGCCCCAAGTAAACTTTTAGTAAAGCACTTTGACATTACTTGCAAGTAAGTTAACGAATAGCGGAATTGCGAATAAGTTCTAAATTTACGAGACTGAAGATATTTATCTTCGCAATTTTCATTTCAATTTCTAATCAACCTCGACTCGCCATATATATTAAGGCGTGTGGTCTAATTAGTGGCCACAGCGGTGCTGGTACTTACTAACTCAAAACAATTATCATTTCTTTTGATACAGACAATTTAGACTCTGTAGGATAAATGGTATTCCGGTCTTGGCTTAGATTCAACTCTTATAAGGGCAGGCATCACATATTTTTATATAATTTAATTAGCTAAAAAGTTTGCTTAGGATTTATCCGAAAGTTGAGTTATTACGAACATAAAATTTTAATTTATATTTATATGTGCGAAGGAATTTCGAAATAGATTCCGCAATCTAACTATAATCCTTTACCAGAGTTAGACAGTAAGTGCAAATAAATAAAATAGAGAAGACAATAAGGTAATAAATTCAAACGGTTGACTTGGTTAGCATGTGGTCTTTTTGTTACGATAAAATTTATTGCTTAAAATCTGTATTAATAAAAAAAAAAAATGAAAAAAAGTGAAAGAGAAACAAAAGTGTGGTTAAATTGAAAACATATCCTATCCATTTCCATATTGCAGTTTTTATGTGTTTTTTCTTTAGATTCCGCTTCGGATTTAAAATGTTTTTCCGCTGGTGTCCTTTTATGCGAATCGGCCGTGAAAGTTTGAATGATCAAAGCAATATGACATCAAGATATTCCTGCTCCGGTTCACCAGATCATAATCATATTAAGCGCAACGGTAAGATTGAATGAAAGAAGCATGCAAGGTTTTTGTATTGATTGGATAGTCAGTATACCTTTACTGCCATTTCTTCTCTGAACAAATAGGAAAAAAAACCGTTACAAGAAAAAAATTACATAATGTGAGATGTACTTTAAGGTATTTGAGGCAACATATCTACTCTTTCAACCAATACGCACCTTTATAACCCACACCATTCTGAACTTACATAACCTTGTATACATTCTACCTTAGCACTTCGTTAAAATGATTTCGCTAACCCAAGTTGAAGCAGGTTGATATTCTTGGTTATGAATTCGTTTTAGAAGTTCTTCAACATTTTTCTTCTGCATCTAGGTATAAGTTCCCATCCCTTATTCTTGATCGAGGAATTAAATTCTGAGCCTACTGCCTTTAGTCAGTGTTCACCTTGTGGAGATTTCAAGGCTTCTTCAATTGTACGCGAATTTTCGGCAATGGAATTTAACATATCACAAGCAGACTCAATATAGCGAAGCTTTTGTGCGGTGCTAAATAGCTGAGGTTTTCCACATCTCATCGGGCAATGTTTATTACGATATTTTCATTAGAATCGCCATTGAAACCACAAGGCAAGCTTGAAACGCTTCATCGCCATCACAATCATTTAGGTCATTTTCGCTAGGTTCATCAATACAAATGTCGTTTTTCAAAATGTCGTTCAGTTCGTTGTTGTTTGTCTCCTTGCGTTGGATTCGCCGGGTTCGATTCAATTATATCAACGGAACTAACACTTAGGAAAAAGTCCCTTGCTATAACAATGCTTTTATATTTTTTTATTATAAAGTGTCCGTTAGCTTTTGTTGCGTCATCTTAACCATCTGTGGTTTGTGTTCTAGGACTGTTAAGCATTGAAGCTTTTCTCTTAAATTATCTATCAAAAAGGATATAAATTTAGCTGGAGATCTGTTGCATATGTGCGTGACAGTATTAACAGTGGTGACAGACGGTTCGAGAAGGCAATGCGCCATTTCAAGTAGAATTCATTTACCTCTTGCCGTTTTGTTACGGGCGGTAACTAAAAGCAGTCGCGTAAAACCTTTAATAATACCTTTGTCTGAGAAATAAGCTTTAATTGGAGTCTTTCCTATTGCCGGTTCATAACTTCAATACGGAGCGACCTCTTTGCTTCCCTAGCGAACACTTTCCGATTTACTCCTTTAAAAAAGTATGTAAATATATATCGTAAGGGTAACACCCTTTGACCCATCGGACTATATACTTTTGCATTTTCATTGCTTATACCTAACGCTACCAATTTTCCATATTGGACACGTCATACAACTGAATTTTTCTACGCTATTCATTAATTCATCATATTTAGCAATTTTAGCAAAGCATATTTTTCTTATAGTTATTTTAAGCGTCAATGTTTTTCAAGAAGCGAAATTAAAGTCGCAATGGAATAGGTCTAAGGTCTAAGAAATATGGAGTCTCAACTTCTACTGGGACTTGCATAACTTAACTATTTTACTGATTGGAAATAATAATGTCATACTTACTTTTAGACACTCAAAGAACCATACTCTATACATATCCAAGATCTCCCAAAAGTCGGGATCGTTCTTCTTTTCAAAGCGGTAAGCGAAATTATAATTCTAATGATAAAAAAGTAGCCCCTTAATTTTAAAACACTTATATATATTTATTTTCTTTTGCATCTTTTTCTTAGTTTTAATATCTTTTCCCATTTTTCTTAAGTTGATGGGTTTCAATTCACTTTCCAAGAAGCGTTCTGTACAATCGCCATCCCCACTGTTTAATGTATCATAAATCGCTTTACATTGCAGGTAGCCTAAAGCAAGCACACGAACTGAGGGATCTAAAAAACTGTAATATATATCATTAATTGGTCGATGAAGATGCTATACAGGGAGATGTTTCTCCCGATATAGATGCTTGGAATATATTTAGAACAAACTTAGTACTGAACCTATAGAAGAATGCATTAATATATTCAACGATTCATTGCAATTATCTAAAGGCTCTAAGAAGGCTGCATAAAACTTCAAAATAATTGTTGGAAATCGTATCAAGTTATTTTATGATAAGAGCATAAAGCAATTAATTATATTATAATTGTAAGAAGTCCACCGCTTTAAAACAAAAAAAAAAAAAAAAAACCAAAATTACTCTTAAAAATATGATAAACTATTGCGTTTCCTTCTAGAAAGAAAATTAATGTTAAAATAACTAAATCTAATCATAAAAAAATTATTATTCTCCTTACAATTTATTTATCCTAGGACCATAAATACGATAAGCAATGTAAGAAAGCTTTTTGCGCCTATTGCGACTATTATCTTAGTTTATCCGCCTCTCACAGTATTTCTTTGCTTTCTTTTTTGCTACATGTATCGAGCTTTTTCTTAATATACATTATTTTTATTACTATATTTCTGCCGTTGAGTGCATTAGTTTATTAATTCTACATCCGACAACATTGTAAAAACTTTATTATATATTATAAAGCGGGAACTTTCACTAGCAACATTTACGCAACAAAATTATTATGTGATACAAGAGACAACTAATTGGCAAGATAGTCCGACATTTTGTTCAAAATTCGAATTAGGAGATTATTGCGGACTTTTTATGTTTCTGTTATCAACAACGACAGTTCTACTGTTAATTAACAGTCATTTGACTTCTTGCTTTTTCATTCTCATTTATATGGAGAAAAATTCTGTTAACAATTAGACGATACAACGTTATATTCTCTGAAACGTTTGTCAATCAGAAGCATCCTTAAATTACGAAAAGGCTGTATATGTGCTTAGTAAAAAAAAAAAAAATAGCAAAGTATTAAGTAGGCCTTTGATGCTTAGTCTCCTTCCTATAGGTGTTATGTAGATTGAATTGAATCCGCTGCTTGTCTCAGTTTGCTTCTGTTATCCGTACCGTCACTTGAGAAAGATAAATTTGTTTTTGGTGTTTCCTTCTTAATTAAGTTAATCGATGCGCCCACATTACTTTGTGAGGTAAGCTTTAATGTCTCTAGGCACAATATTTTCATTAAGCTTAGCCAATGTAAACGTAATTTTGAGCTATTCAATCCGTTCAGAGTTGTTTGCAGAAAAGTAAACGATGTCTATCACTTAATCTCAATATCGGACTATTTAAAGTCGCAACTGCAAAATAACTATGCTTAATACACGCGATTTGCCTACGCCTAACTTGCATTCTTAACAACTCGCTATGATTCGGAAATTTGGAGATGTTGTCGAGTGCTAAGCTTTTGCATGTTTGCAATGGTTTAGGGGTTCACTTGCAGCTTGGATCTATACTGGTTGTGGGTGTGCTTCTGTGCTAGCGGTGTACTTTTTCATTTTTTTTTTTTTTTTTTTTTTGTTTACTTCTCCTCATATATTTTGTAATAGTGTTTAATAATAATTAGTTTAAGATCTACTTCTAAGGGTCAATTGAATTCTGCTATTGCTTTATTTTAGTCGAGTTTCATGTAGAAGTAAATAAATAAATAAAAATACAAAAATAAATAAGATACTATTCCATGTTTTTAGAAGAATATGGTATAAATATAAATGTGTATAAGCGAAAAAACCAAATATTAGATATAATATTTTTTTTTTTTTTTGCATCGTTTAGTCGACATTGAAAAATTTAAAATTTTTCGTTCGCCAAATGATTCAATAAGTTTCAGTGAAAAGATTCATATTAAAAAATATGAATTTTGATTATTAAAAAAAAATAATGTGATAGAAATAATTTATGTTATTTAATTTACTTATTATTTACACACTAATTAAATTATTTATTTATATATATATTTGAAATATTCTTGCAATTTTCCACATCATAAATGAGTTATTGTACAGGGCGCGATAGCTATTTATTTTAAAAAACTTGATCTCTAGAATGTATTCTAGAATCTTTTAGAATATTCTGTTCTGTATTCAAATTTCTTCATAAAATATTTCCATTGAAATTTATTCAAGCAATCGGTCAGCAAAAACAGCATAGCGCACATTCACTTAGAGACACGGAATTGTCTATGCTACTGGTGTGCAAAGATGTGAGAAAATTTGACCGGGAACTTACAGAAAAAGTCCGCAATAATCTCCTACTTTGAATTTTGAAGTAAATGTTGGACTATCTCGTCATTGTTTCTATTCACATTGTGCCTTTTTTTTTTTGCTTTTGTAACACGGCGAATCATATCTTGGTGATTCGCTGAATATTCAGGAAGAAGAAGAAGTATGAAAGTATAATAGGGCGGTCCAAATTAAAGAGAGAATAATTTATTATTTAAATTTTTTTTTTTTTTTTACGTTTGACTTGTATGTTGCGTTTTATACAGAGCCGACTAGGATATGTGGAAAAAGCGTTTTTATTTATCATATATTATATGGTGACACGAGTATATTCGGGTCAATTGCATTTCAATTTTTTGGTTTAATATTTCCAACCGTGGCCATAAAAATAGCTTTTCAATTACGTGTTTTAAATTGAAAAAATCATGTTTCCTTTCTGCTGATTTTTTAATATCAAAACTTAACAAAGAAAAATTATTAAAAACTATGAATATAATTTCATACAAAATTAAATTTAGAAAATAAGTGCAGATTAATTATTTAAATGTCTAACATTAAGAATTTTCAAATATTGCAAAATATGTTCACCAAAATGCTCGTTTATATAAAAGTGATAACTTAGACTAGAATGATATATGGTCGTATAGGAAGATGAGCGAGTTTGTAGCAAATCGTACAAAGAATCTGAGGTGAAATCCATAGATGAGGCTTGTAAAAAGTTCATTATGCGCTCATTCGTAAAGTTCATCGTCTAACGAATTGAAAAAAGCGAGAGAATTATGTGAAAAATAAAAAAATAAATCAGTTTAAAAAAAATTATCTACCTCTTCGATATCTTCTTTTTCAGTTTTTAGATGCACATAATACTTTGTCCGATCATCTGCATCAGCAATAACTTCCACTTTATCAACGGGATAGACGACTTGTAATTTATCCCAGTTCCCCTCAACAATTGCAAATATTGTTGAGGTAAGAAATACATATCCAGTTTTCAATTGTTCCTCGACCATCACATGAACAACGTGATAAAAAAGAATTTGATCCGATAATAAATCAATTGGAAGCATACGCCATAAACGATAGGGCGACGGTTCTGTAGCCATGTTACGGCAAATTGTTGGTGATCTTTGGTACGGCAAAGCGTTAAACTGAATTGTTTGTAACATTCCTTGGCCGGCTAAAGCCAATAGTTCTGCGGCTCCACTTATAGGTTTGGTCAACGCTCCAACCAAACCTTTCCCCACGCCCGTTAACATTTCTGTTGGGGTCCTTGCTTCTAAAGTATGATGAGCCAAACCTCCAACCGCGCCGAGTATGCTGATGCCCAGACCAGTCATGCCTTGATAGAGTCCCTCAGTGAAACCTTGCGGTCGCCTCCTACGCAAAAACTCAGTTCTTTCAAGATGCTCGCTGTCTAACGACAACCGATCCAAATTCCGAGCCACGGATGCGGCTAATTTGGTCACTGAATTAACCGTACCAGCAGTGACATTTCTGAGTAACGAAGCCGAACCTTGCGTAACTCCGACTATAAAACCCCAAGGGCCACGAAACAGTCCTCTTGCAGGCAAGTAAATGAAATCCTTTACGCCAGTTGATACGGATCGAGCCAGACCGCTCGGGCTGCCGAGAATTTCTAAAGATCCCACTACCCAACCGGCACCGAATATTGCGCCAGATAAATAATGCATGCCCATCGATTGACCTAATTTTAACGGCGATGTTAACAAATATTCTCGATGACAAGCCGAAAATGACAAAGGCGAATGATCCAAAGCAATATACAGACGTACAGATGTATGCACGGAAAGCAATATATTCATTGGTTCGATTCTAAACGATCTCAAATGTAAAGGTTCAGCTGAACATATAGCTTGTGCTGCCACATCGTTCGGTACAATCACTTGCTCCTTATATAAACGCCTGCGCTCGTACATTCGTTTCGCTTTATAAATACCATTTGATAAATCACATTCTACTAAGGCATCTAATAAATTTGTTACATATGCATCTTCAATATATATACGTATTGGACTTAAGCGAAATTTTAAATTTCTTATCTTATATTCGTCTTCGTAGAAATTCATTTTAATTTCCATCATAGCACCTTTTTCCTCCAAGCATGCGTACGTACGATCCAAATAATAAATCAACGGTTTCTGGGAATTTTTCTCATAAAATTCCTGGGAACAAAGCAAAACGGGAAAATCATAATTTCCCGTCGTGAATAATTGATTGTCGATTTGTAAATTTGGTACTAAAATATTCGCTTGCTTATCACCTTCCATATCATCGTATGCGAATATAAGATCGTCCATAAAAAAGCTGATCAAATCCCGTTTCATATATTGAGACTCGATTCCATCAACGTGCAAACTCAAAACAATCTCCTTAATATATATACGAAACTTCTTATATATTCCATCACATTCATTGCCAACAAAATGTCGGCAAACTGTTGCTGGTAAATTCGTAGACGATGTAATGTTCGGTTTAGGCACATTCATTGGCTTCGAAGAAATTAATTGCTCTCCGCTAATAACCGATGTTACCGACAGCCTTGTACGCAATTCCTTTACTGAGAATTCCATTTCCTTTAAATGTGAACAAGCAGTAAAAAAACCATAACTTACTGAATAGATTGGGAGTTTTAATGTCTATTACGTACCTGCGACACATACAATATATTTAGCCTCACAACGCGATGTTTATCACAAACAATAATCTGTATATCTCCATGACCGGGAATATTCACATATTTTTTATAGGTGCGATCGAGATTGATGGGTTTTGACCATTTGATAGGGTTTTTGAGTTCAATACCACCTTTATCGGAACAGTTTTATTGTATGTGCACCCGTAAGACTGCAATAAAAATTATCACTTACCTTGCAGGGCCAGTGTGATATTGCAATAAACAGAATTAACTGTTGGGAAGTTCTGATACCAAGCTGGCGGTGTATAGTAGGAATGCGTATGCTTTCGTATCACATGAAACCATTCAAAATTGCTAACTTCTTGCTCGGGAGAAGGTATAATTACGGTACTACTTTCGGTAGATGTCGTTTGTGCGACTAAAAAAGAACACTCGACCTCATTCCGAATAAGTAAAGCCGGACATGTGTCTTCCATTAAGCATAAGTAATATATATTATTCTTTACAATTAACGTAACTACCAATGGGATGGACTCATTTCCATTATGCAAACTAAAACAGTGACGTTTAATGGCCGCATGCAAAGGTATAGGCATCGATAATTCGGATGTTGGACACAGCCTAATACTCACAAAATATACAAAGTCTGTTTCTTCACTACGCGGACATGCGTTTGTATGGATATCGTAGAAAACGCTTAATGATATTCCTACGCTATTCTCCCAACCTGGCGTTGCTTTCATTTCGAAATGCTGCGTTCCATTGTCCAATTGTTTGATCATCTGCAAATCAATACTTTCTTTTTGACCGACAGCAAATGGTATAACGCATACGCAATGCTTCGAAAAGTTGACGATAGCAAATTTCGAATGCAATTTAAATATTCTGCGACCATTTTCGATGCTCATAAATAAGACAAATTTGTGCACATTTTCTCTACGCAAGATAACGACATCGCATGGTGAACATTCTTTTACGACATAACACTCATTATATTCACATTCGGAATTTTCGGTAAAATATATGGGTAATGATTGCTTCCAAATGGGCCCATCTGGTATTTCAACATAAAATCCTTCGGACAAATCAAATAACATTTCAAGACCGTTACTTTCAATGATAACTGATTGTGTGATTTTTAAATTCGATATGCGAACATTAATGCCCGTTGAATTGATCCATATACCCCAAGGTGATAATTCCAGACTTAATGTGCATGAAAATTCACGATTACGGCTCACATGGTAAATAACATCGACCGTTGATTTCGCTTTCGAAATACGACGAACACGTAGTTCATCTTCATCGTTCAATGGCCAGTGGCGGACAATTGGTTTTGATAAAATTTGCAAAGCGCTTTCAACATTCCACTTATGGTCCGAATAGAAGAAAAATTTTTGCCAATCCAGTGACTTTAATGTGAGATTATAAGTTGTCGAAGATTTTACACCCAACGGAAATCTAAAAAGACTTAACAATCAGCGCGACGATGAAAGTTTAATGAATATTTCATTTGCACCTGTATAAAAAGTTAAGCCCATGATTGGTAAGATGTGTTGCCGGTACTTGTAATATATGTTTGTCACCTTCGCCTTCCAAGATATGTTCTTTGCTAGTACCAAGCTCCCGCAATACAACAGGACAAGTTAACATTGACGTCAATTCAAATACAGGCCAAATAGTTATAAGAATCTTTTGCGGTTGAAACGTTTCAGTAGTTAAATCATTCACATCTTCGCGCAAAATTCTCACCCAAAAGCTTATAAAGTCTGGAACGGCTAAAGGTACTGCAAAATTTAAAATTTATTATGAAATATTACTCGCAAGCCGATCAAGGTAAAAAACAATTTTTAGGCAATGACTGTATATCTGTAAGGTTGAATAGGTTTGTTGTAACCATCGGAAATTGCTTAAAGCACACACATATTTTATATCAGAATGAATTCCTAGATAAACTGGATAAATATGATCATTGATCATTTAGTATAATAAATGGACATGATATGTAATTCAAAAGACGATTCTGCTCGAATTCATAAAATGATTTTGTTTACGTTTTTACTGCATTTCTATTTCTTACCTTTCACAAGCCAAGGCAATTTCTTATTAATTCTTAAAGGAATTTCACCCGTATAAGCATTAACACCCTCTTTTATGATTTTAAGTCTAAAAAAAAAAAAAAAAAAAAAAAAATAGACATTAATAATAATAATAGTCCGATGTAGTGTGTAAATGAAATTAAAGAAATTACCTAATGGAAATCTCCGATTTCTGATTTACACTCATATAAAATGACTTTCTATCGTATTTATCAATTTCATATTCTCTAATTGATTTATTCTCTGCATGCGATTTAGAATTATCGTCCCGACGAAATTCTACTCGTAACCTATACGGAACCATAGAGATGAGCTCAACTTGTCCTTTAATCATTAAAAGGACTTGTAATCCAGAAAGTTTACGCAATTTCAATACTAAACATTTATTGCCCATACGCAAATTATAAATCACATTATCTTCGTCCATTTTAAAAGGTATATGCACTGATTGCGATGTCTCCACAAGTGTTGTTCCCTCATCAGTTATATAGAATGTCAACTCTTGCTTATAGAAATCACTGTCAAACGAATAAAGATAACATTCCTTAACATTAAGTTGCACGCGTTCTTTTGTACCCGTTTGGCCAAATACAATTGCTTGCATTGTCCGATTCGCTACAACACATCGCGGTATTAATGCGTGCCGAATGCGTTTATTATCAGTATCAAGTAATTCCTCCCAATGCGTTTTGGAAGTAAGAAGAGCGTGTAACGTTGACGGGCCCACATTGAAACGTAAGCGATCGCATAAAATATTACCAATGAAAATATTTTTCATAATATCTGCATGCAAATAGCATTTAAAGGTAGCATCCTCAAGAAGTGGTATTAAATTTAAATAACCATAATCTAAACATTTTATGTTACCATTCAATTCCAAATCAAGATTATAGTGACCTCTTGTGTAAAAAACATAATGAAATGTTAGATTGCTTAACATAACAAATACAAATGCTTGCGATTTTACAGTAGTTTTTGTTAAACGGTATTTCTTTAAAGGCGGAGGCAGATCACCATTTTCGTCCGGTTGATTTAAGAATTTTATATAAACTTGATTGCAACTGACCATAAGTTGCAATTTTGGTATATCTTGCGATTGAAATATCGTATCTATTCGCATACATCCAACCAAAACTTTCGGATTTAATATAAATTCTCTTCTTTTATCGGTATGTTGGAACACTTCTCCCAACGAATTGCTCTCAATGCTTTTTATCTCATCGTCCGCATCATTCGAATCAAAGCAATTACCATTCACCGTTACCATTGATTGTAAGATGACAATACGCCAGATGGCGGCGCATAATGTTTGCTCTGGCATTGGTAAATCGTTGGCGATAGTCTCGGACAGCCAGAAATCGCAATACGATAGAAAGCGTTCGTGAACTTCACTAAAGTATTCAATACGACATTTAATGTGTATGGGTGTGTCGACCTTTAGAGAGAAATAGAAAAGTAACAAACGCTGGAAAGAGAACTTTTTCCTGCAATTTAAATTACCGCCATCGGTATTGGATTAACGAGAATTTTAACCATTTTCCTGGGCTGAGGGTAACGCCAACATATAATACCGAAATCCTTTTTAATTATTTGTATCTGATAGGGGAGCGGCAAAAGAGAATCTGTAGTTAATTCAACAAATTGAAAAGCGCCCGCTCTACAGATAAAAGATATTGTATTAATTTTTTTTTTTTTTTTTAATGTACCTTGAGATCTTGTACAAACCTTAAATCATCCTGATAATATTCTTCACGTTTTCGTGACTTCCGTTTCGAAATAAATGAATCTAATGATGGACATTTTAACGGCTCCAAATTACCATGTGACACATCAAATGGTTCGTCTAGTAAACGCCTGCGTTGAAATAGAATCCATACACTGAATGTACGATCGACGATGCGTTGTATAGCGTGGACAGCTGAGCGTAATTGTAGGACCGTGTATATACCAATATCCATTTGAATGACATTAAACTTGACAGCAGCACTTACTAAAGGTGATCGTTCCCATGGCTCACTAATTAAATCTAATGACGCCTTCAGCGATACCGGATGCATGAATATCTTACGCATCGTACGTAAGTAAATCGAACCCAATAAAAGTTTCGTTGAACATTTTTCTGGTTTAGTCAGATACTTGAGGTGCAATTTCAAATTATTGAATACTAATTTACAATCGTAATCTGCTTTATCGCTGAAATTTATCATAATTGCTGAAATTTTTAAATGTAAACGATCTGCTCCTAAAGTTTTATCTTTTAACAGCTTTATTTTAGTACCGTGCATGACCCGCACTGGTTCTGACGCAACGCAATTATCTTTTCTAAGGCAATCTAAAATGATTATTAAATTCTGAAGAAGCTTAGCGGTATGAGCTTCATTCAAAGTTAAAACAAGTGGTTTTTCAAAATCCATATCAATTTCACGCATTTGCAATTTTGTTCTATGTAATTTACACGAAAAAAACGACGGTGGAATTCCAGCGGAACTTAATTCACCTGGTAGAGTATCTAATATTGGTACGGGAAATGTTTCCAGGCTTTGCGCTGCCTCAAGAACCGACGGTAAATGTAATCCAATATTAAATATTGAGAATTGCATGATTGAATCAAAAATATTCTGGGTTAGCATAAAACTTGGTTGCGAAATCGTAAACGACAAGAGCGCTTGATCATGCAAAATGTTATCCAAACGTATGTTCGCTTTATATTTTGCCGAGTCGAAAATTCTTATAATAAAAACTCCAGCAAGTAAAGATAAAGTGCTTGGTACATTACGTACAGTAGTTGTTATTGTTCCAAATTCCAGAATTGGTCCGGATAAAGAAAGAAATATGTCCTTATCTAATGTGGTCGTACATTTTAACGGTAACGTTAAATCGGATTGTATGCCAGAATCAGTTTTGATGGGAGCCTCAGAGTTCTCATCAAGTGACTGAAATTGTGAAGCCGGTAAAGTTCGATTCAAATTTCGCGTCTCTATCGATTGAGTCGCAGGCAGCAGGATATTATTGGGTGATTTTACAATAGGACGCAATCTTGTCAAGGAACTTTGTGGCGAAGCAAAGAAGGTTGATGATGATTGCGATTTTGAATAAACTGGCGGAACGGGTAAAGGATAATCACAAGAAGACTTGATAATTCTAAAAATGCAAAAAAAAATTTTATGGCATTAATACTTTCTTCGAGATATGCATAGATATATATTGTACATACTCGTTTATTTGTTGCGCTCGTTGCAAAAGGCAGCTAATCATATTCATTTGAGCCGTATCGATGGTGGCCACAAAATCTGACGAACAGTTAAGTTCCGTTGCCGCGCCACATATTAAAATCCGCCTATAAATTATATTTGGTGCATAAGTGCAAACAAATGTGAATTGCTTGAAGATCTCCTTATATTCTGGATCTGCTTTTCGTTCGGGATTGTTCCACTCGACAGCGGGATTAGAATAAACTGTTTGCGCTTTCTCTCGCATATGAGCCAAAAGCTCATGCCAGTTTGCCGACGCGCCAGACATGTGAAAGAATGTGGTTTCATATTGCCGATCTTCTATCGTTGAACCGGGCACCGTTAACATACCCATAGAAGTTGCTTTAGAAAATACCTCTGGTCTTAGCGGAATGCGTTGTAATGGATTTTTTAAATTTGATGTAGCATTAATTCCATCTATTTTGAACATCAGGACTGTGCAACTTTTAATTACATTTTCCAATGGAAATAGAAACGTTAGACCTTTACTTTGGAAATGTATAAGCGGTAACATAGATCCAGATTGAATTGTTTGATTTTTTGTTGGAATTTGCTCGTCATCGGCCCACACCACCTTTGGGGCAAAGAAGACGCATAGTGGTTCAACGAATTCGATAACTCTATCTAAGTCGATAATAAATTCAATGGCTTGTACGTCGATTATGATCTCAGTAATAAAGCGCTGAGTAGTTGGCGGACAACGCTTAATACCTATGCGTTTATAAAAATCTTTTAAGCTAGCTCTTGTAACAATGATATTAAAAAACGGATGATCATTGTTCTCAACAACTTTTCGTACACTGAGATATTTCTTTAGAGACCAAGATCCAGTCGATTCGAGTTCATGATATTTCAGACTACAATTTCCGATTTTATACGTGTATTTAGTGAAGTCGTCGCTCTGATCGATTGTCGACAGCAAATCTTCAAGCTCTAAAACAATTTTAGTTTTTCGACTGGAAGTTCCTTTCATTTCGACGGCTACTTTAGGGATAGTCCACTGGCAGAATATTGCTAAAAAACCAGCTTTTGATCTATCTAAGGAAAGATCAATAATGAGAATACATCAACAAATTAAAAACATTCGTCTTTAGCGAGATTCGTGCATTCGATTGGGCCCGATTTTTATAATTTACGTTTAAGGCTCTCATTCTATTTAATTAGTGGTTTAAAGAGCGGAAAAAAATCGGTTAGAAGTATATGCGCCGTTCCGTCAGATGTATATTTTGATTTGACAAACTGTATCACATAAGGATAAGAATACATAGATACTTCTCAGCATTGTAAATGAAAAAAAAAAGTAAAAACATTATAATGGGAGTCTATCCGGGACGAATAATACAGTCACTCATGTAACCACCTCTCAAAAAAAAAAAAAAAAAAAAAGAGTTATACATACGGACAGGCGTCGAAAAAGTGGTTTGATCCAAAGCAATTTTCAATAGCGTTTATTCTTGGACCAAAGCAAATCGTTATTGAAAATGCGAGCTTTGCGTTGTACACAAGACTAAAAGATGTACAAAATATGTACAGAAGGCAAGTTTAGATCGATTTAGAAAGTGATCCTGAATCGATCGACGTAAGGCGAATCTATATCAAATCCTTCTGGATGTTGTATACATTCGCGCAAACCGAATATAACCTAGTACCACATAAAATGTTTATGATATGAAAAGATCTCATAGATCTCACCTGATAATACTCGCTGAAGCGAAATGTCCGCGTTAATATCCAACTCCATGAACTCTTTGAGATGGGCGTCTTCTTCAGTTGCAGTAAGAATTTTTACAGGATCACAAAGATTGTGATTCGATGTTTTACGTTTAATGAAACTGTCAGGCATTCTCATCAACTTTTGAAGATTGATTAAATAAGTCAATTGGTCCCTTAACGTTTTTAAATGTTCAACCAATATATGCAAAGTGGATGAATCGATGTGCAAATTCAGCGTATGAACATCGAGAAGCTCAACAATCTTTCCCGCAGTCACACCAGATCGGTTAAGTTCTGGATATGATTCAGCGACTGGCACTGATGAGGAAGGTGCATTTTCTGATGCCTGCTTTTTGCCTTTGATCAAATGATGCTTAGTGTGATAAAAGGACGCACTTTCTTGATCAATATTACGCTGCCGATACGTCATAGCCACTGTAAACGTAGTATGCCAGGGACTGACCACAGTATGCCAACGTTCATGTTCGCAGATTTTCACGCAAAATCCTTGCAATTGTATTGTCCAATTGAAGGCGGTTTTTGAATGTAATGGGGGATTTACTCTGATACTCAAATTCGAACGGTTTATATAATCGGCAAATGTAGATTTCCACACTATTTTGGGCAAGCAAATGTGAACGAATTCGCCTTCGAACTCACCTTTTTCATTACGCGTTGCCGTTGAAGCCACATTTAAGTGATTTTCTGCCATTTCTATCAAAATTACGACAGAATCAAAATATTTTTTTTTGTCTTTCCATTTACTGTATCCAACTACGTCGGAGCTAAAAGAAACTGGAGAAGATCTTACTGAATGAGGCTCACTTGTGTTCTTCTCGTCACGATCTGTGCTATAACGGGGTGCTTCTTCAAGCAGACCTACTCTAGCCGGTTTGTTCGCAATACCTCGTCCAAAAACTTGCGGTTGTATTAATGTAGACGAGTGCGTCGACTCACCAGCATATGGTGGTGGTATTGATAAAAAATTTTGAGCATCTAATTGAACTCTAGACGAATCTTCTATAAAAAAAAAAAAAAAAAGAAAAAGAAACACAAAAAAATTGCTGATTTCAATTGAACAAGATATGAAGGATCTTACTTCTCCATAAGTATTTCTCATGCAGTTCGTTAAAAGAAAAGAATTCAGCCAAGTGCTTATCCAAAATTATATTGCATTTTTCAATCCACAGACCTAAAGCCATTTCCATTACATGTTTTTTTTGAACACTTTTGGGTGTGAAACGCACAGACGGTACCTGAATTTGACATTCAAGCCATTTACTTTGATTATTGTGGTATTTAGTATTTATAATGTTATATTTTTGAACATGAAAAGCGCTTCGACCATACACCACATCCGAATGCAATGTGCCGAAAACTATGTTCGACGTACCGAAAGTGTGATATTGTCGATGAACTACAACAATTTTCGTTAAAACAGTGTGTATTTTCATTGCATCAGGCAGTTCCAGCGGTTGAGTCATTAGCTCACTTAAATAGCTTAATAAATGAGGTTGACATTTCATGATGGCTTGTAATAAACGCAAACTAGCTATCAGTTGACGATTGGAGAACTCGACTTTCATTTGATCGCAATGCATATCCACTTTGCACACGGCCTCCTGATCTTCTTTCCAATGTTCCGGTTGCAATAATATACCGAAAGTCAATTTAATTTTGGGAATTACTGCCAATTTCGCAATATGTTGATTGAAAGGCATAATCATATCAAATGAAAAATCCGACAATCGAAAATCAAAGTTTCGATAACAAGCAATTAACAACTCGCTAGGTTTTTGTGGCAACTGGCAGGTGGTGTGTACTAATTTATCTGGATTTAGTGGTATAGAGAAACTGCCTTCAATATGGTCCAAACGCATCTTAAAATAGGGCAGGGAGCTCCACAAGACAGTTGTGGATATATTAGACGCCGTGATTGTATTGGTGCTATCCCAATCCATGTTCGCAAAAGCTTCAATGCAAATATCTTTAACATTTACTTTGAACTCCCATAATGGAACACCTTGCATCAATTGATCATAATCTTCTACTAAAGGAGGATGCAATTTCGGTGAGCTGCTTCCGGGTGTTTTATTAGATACTCCAGATAATTGAATATAGCTATCAGTCGTAACCGTTAATGAGTTTCCTGGACATTGAGATTGATCGTTGATTTCCCCGGTCTCTGAATTTGAAGTAGCCGTAAAATCGATTGATTCAAAAAATGTTATAATTACATTTTTAACCTGCAACACCGTCTGGGTAAATCGAAAAATCACACCGGTTGATAGAATACGCATATGCTTATGCTTTGCCTCAGTACCCGTTTTACCACTGGAGTATGATGTTACTTGATTTACTAGCGACGGAATACTATATTCCACCAGATCAAGAGCCAATATCGGACTACGGTATAAGAGATATTCATCGGTAACACGCGTGGAATAGTCAGTATAATTTGCAATTATCAATCCTTTCTCAGGGATCTTGCATTCGCCATCGAATAACGATCTATCGACAAATGCCTGGGTGTTCGTGAACTAAAAATTTCAAAAACGTGTAAAAGAATTTTTGTCATTGTAATGTGCTTATTCACTTACCGGTTCGGATTCAACTAGAGCCTTTTTCTGATCGCCTTCTGTTGCGAACTGACCCAAGGGCTCAATATAGATGCTGGATACGCCCACTCTCAAATTCCCCCAGTCTACTTCTTTCACATTAACATTTTCATAATAAAAACCGCCAACGGTTAGGCGGATTATTGGTGAATACTGTACACGTTTCATGCCGCCTATCATGGGATCATTAACACATTCAGCATTCTTTAAAGTCAGATTGAATTCTTCAACATAAACTCCAATATCCTCGACGTGACCATCAGGATCGCTTTTTGAAAGTTCATCTTCTTCATGATGATCAGAATAAAAACTAGGCAACATATTCCAAGCCCACGAAAGCCAGCCGCCTCTGTTAGACTGATCCGGAGCTTGCCTAGATCTTTCCGCCGTGTCATCAAAGGGAACTGTAACCTGTACGACTTGATTATCAGCGCCCATCAATAGAATACCTTGAATTAACCGCATTATCATAGGTAGTTGGAGGGAAGACATGCTAAAGTCAAAAAGTCGTGTAAATATGGCGACACGCGTTACACTTTTAGTAGCCATGGTGCGTATATTGTGTCTATGTAGTATACGAATTTGTACAGTGCACCTAAAATGAAAATCTCGCAATTTGAAAATAGTTAACAGATGAAAAAGTGCAGTTACCTATAAAGCATTGGCTCCTGACAACATTCAATTTCACCGGCAGCATTACGTTTATCCAGACATATAGTTAAGTCGCAGATTGTAATCATTTTGCGACTTAAGAACTTAGTTGGATTTATATCGATGAACGATGACTCCCATTTGTCATTAGCTGCGCCAAAACAAAACTTTTGAACGTTCATAGAAAAAACAATATCATCTTCAATATATTTAAATATAATATTTTGGCATTCAGCACTAATGTTATTGACAATTTTCATAGTTAAAGTCGAAAGCATCGTTGCAGATTCATCGTTTTTTGGCGTTGGAGGTGGCACAGTTTTATGTACAGGACTACTTCTACAAGACTTGGATTTCCCTGTTTTACCTTTCAAAACAAATTCGATTGTGCTAATACTTATACGTATTGGTTCAGATGTAATTTTTGTCCACGGTATCTGTATATTCAATTCGTGAATGTGACCAGACAAAATTTCAAATGGAAGATGCAATTCTTGCTCCAGTACATCTAACCGCAAATCAACATTTTGAAGCGTAACTTCGCCCTCCCAAAGGGACATTTGAAAATCCTGTGGTCTAACATCTTTCACATATTTATCTAAATAGCTGAGAATGATGGGAGTTAAATACGACTCAATTCTAAACATTCTGGCTTAGGTGCTTTTTTTTACATATATATATATATATATATATATATGCAGATATGGTATTTATTAATAAAATTTCAAAACATTTTTAATAAAATTATTTTTGACTTTTTAATAATTTTTCCACTTTGTAGAATTTTTAATTTTTTCAATTTTATGTATTTAATCCTAAATGAAATATTACGCATCAAGAAAGAAAAAGCCAACTGTTTACAAGTATTTTTATTTGCTTTTATGGCTACGTGAACTGTTATATTTTTCTAATTAGCAACGTTGTAAAAAACGTAGCAAATATGAATATCTTTAGAGTTGCTTAGTAATAACCGATAAAGCAAACCTAATAGTAACTCATGAAATATCACAGTACATTCCTTAGGCAATTCACTGAAGTAGTTTCGTGTTATTTTTTGCAAGCTAAAAGAAATGCCAGAATTTGATGGAAACTGCGATTTTGGTATAGGAATTTCGTCCCTTACGCAAATTAAACGCTAAATTTATTAATTATATCATATTTTTGAAGATATAGTCAAATATTTT